TGGGTGGCCTATAAATTTAATAAATAAGCACCTTCAAATGTTATCTGACCAGCCAATGAGACAGAGTTCCTATTTCATATGAACCATCATGTAATGTGTTTGATTTTGGATTAATATGTTATATGTATAGACCTATTATGGGTTGTAAAGTATGATCTATGACCTAAGATACAGAGCTGTCGTACTAGGTCAGGCCTGGCTCATCTAGGCAGCCTTTCATACCATGATGTGGTGGAAACTGGAGAGCACCAGCTCGCCAGACGTGATTGCTACATTTTCTGGAATTTTGTACGTCAGATGAGAGAATGCCTAACACATTGGCCAGCTGTTGTGAAGTAGCAGTGGAGCCAGGAGAACCAGTTCTTAAAGATTAACCCACACACCACTTGCTTCCTTCTTGGGTGACCCACCAGGTTCATCAAGAAGTTTACAAACAGGAGATCAAAGCAGCCCTTTTCTCTTGTGCGTATATGTTGGTAGATTGCCCCAGGCCTGGAGGCAGCACCCAGCCATCAAGGTAATATAGCAATTGATAAGATCTGTTCTCTAGGAAGTTGTCTAGTCTTCTTTGAAGCCATTTTGAAAACTCAGCCAGGTGTGTGTGTGTGTGTGTGTGTGTGTGTGTGTGTGTGAGATTAGGTTAGATAAACTATTTCTGAGCATTTGGGAAAACATTATTCTAAAGCATGGGAATATAACAGTTAGCTAAAGTAATAGCCATTCCAAGAAAGAAACAATGATTAACTAGGAATCTTCCCATATGAAACAATTATGCAATTACTTAGCTTATTTGTAAAATTTGATGCAGTTGGATGAGTTAGAGACAATAACCCTTTCTTAGACACATCCTTCTCATATTTCCCATTTCTGCTTCTTCCCACTTTTTTTTTAAATGAGAAAAGAAAATTGCTCAGGCAGGAGGAAGATGAGGGCTGCAAGATACCCTTTGACTAGTAAAATCAGCACCACTCTATTCAGAAACACCTTAGATATAAGACTTTCTTTAGGATAGAATGCTAATTTGTCAAAGGACCATCCTCACCTGAAGTTTATAGAGCAACATAGTGTCCTGTCAGCGTTGTTCCCCTCGTGATTACATAACATTGGCCTTACCTCACCCCAACTCGTGATTTACAGTCTTATGCTACTTAAGATGTAGAAATAAAAATAGGTCTTTTCTCCACTCCTCCTCCACCACAGCAGTAAAAGGTGCAACAATAATTACAAGTTGTCACCATTATCTTGGAGTGGTCAAGTGAGAGAATGAGTGGAGGTATATTTGAGGAGTGCTAGGAAGCATAGGCTTTTCTTCCTCTTTGCTCACTAGTTAATCTCCATGGCTGCTATTCCTGTTCCAGGTCTCTGTGTTTCCTGAGTTCTTGTAACTCTCACTTCCTTGCCAAGATTTTCTGTAATTACCTCTAGAACACCAAATATTTATTTTACCCTAAACCAAAACCAAGGGCTTCCATCAATTTTCTTTCTTTGTTTTTTCTTGCTGAAAAGAAACAAAGAAAAAGATGCTATCTCCATTGAAGTTTACAATTGTCTTTGTTCTTATGCTCATTCCATAAAGGAAAAGTTTCTCTGTAGAGAAATATATTCTCTGTAGGTTTCTATCCCATATATAGGTATATATAGAGCTAAGTCAGACTGAGTCCCATCATAAAACAGACATAAACCAATTCATTACATGTAACTTCTATGCAATTTTCCCTACAAATCTATAATTTTGTGTCACTACCAGAATGATAGGCAACATAAGCCAGAAAAAGCTAACATATCAAATCATCCTTGTGGTTAAGTTAACATGTTTATAGAAAGCAAAGTATATAGAATTTGAAATCTTTCCTGGTTCTGGCAGAGAACTTCATTCTCACAAGACAATAATACTCTTCTAAGCTTTAGGCCCTGAAATTATATGAAAGGAGATGAAGTTGTCTCAAGTAGACATTCTGATACAATGCTTTTGTTCCATTCTATCCAATATAAGTGGATAAAGTGGATTAATAAATGGATTTCTCATGGTCTCATAAAATCTTCAGAACAGGACAAATAACACTGAGGTTGCCATGAGAATGTGTGTTCTCTCTGGAAAAAGGCAAAGTCCTTATGGCTTGAAATAAAATGCTGGAAGAGAAAAAAACTTTAGGTTTAAATAAGATTTATTTATTGTACTTATTTACTATGCTTCTATCCTGTCTTCTCTCCAAGGCATTTCAGTGGATATGCAAAACTCTTTCTTGTCCATTGTAACCTCATAACAATCCTGTGAAGTAAGCTAAAATAGTTACCCCAATCAGCTTCATGCTAGAGAGGCATTGTTGGGCAGGGCTTCCCACAATCTCATGTCACGTCTAACACCATGCTTCTGTTTCACAGGAAAAACTTCCAAATCACTAGCAAAGCATGGTAAAGTCTAGTAAGAATCCTCAAGTTTAACCCATCTTAAACTTGTTAGCCTTTTCAGATGCCATACATTTCTCATTTTATATATTGAAATACTCACAAATGAATATAGTCCAAAAATATTTATATACCTCCTTGAATAAATTTTAATTGGATCATATATTTTCCTGATAAATGTCAAAAGGTTTTGGTTAAAAGAAGAAATATCATAGGCAACTTAGGTTCGGCGATTTATTGAATTAAAATGTGAATGCATTATTGGACTACCCACTAGAGGGCATGGATTGCTTTTTAAAAGGCTCAGATAATTCAGTTTCTAGTTACAAACACAAAAAAACCCTCTATCATAGCAAAAACAGCAAATCTTTGGCAGTATAAAATTAACAGATATCTAAAGACTAACTGATAGATGATTGTACAGTTTATCAATATATCAAACCCATGAAATCTTATCCTTGATTAGTAAATAAAGATAGGAAGCTGTTTATGTGTGTGTGTGTGTGTGTGTGTGTGTGTGAGAGAGAGAGAGAGAGAGAGAGAGAGAGAGAGACAGAAAGAGAAACAAATAGAGACAGAGACAGAGAAGGTGGGGGGGCCTAGAGCATCAAAAAGTGAAGATTGCAGATTTGATCGTGTGAGCCTTGCCCCTTTTTTACATTCTTAGTATGCATAATGCCCATAAAAAAGATATGCGACTTCATTCTCAGCTTTGGTCTTTACTTTATGAAGATTGGGGAGGGATTCTTCTTAACCATGTAGAAGATGACAGATAACTTCGAGGCATTGCCTGCCTCGTTGATGCAATCATCCTATGGCTGGTTTTGCCTGTGTTCTAAAAATTTTAGGTGGACCATCAATTTGTAAATGAATACACTAAGGACTAAGTAATAAATAATATGCTGTGGTTGCTGGATGATATTGATGGATAGTTGTGGGTTCAATCTCTCTCCAAACTCGACGCTTTATTTCTTGGGCAAACCGGCGACTGGTTTGTGAAGGCAATATTGGAATATAGGAATACAGTACTGTAAAGAAGGAACAACCACTGTCTGTTAATAGCCTTATGCCACTTTGTTCCAATCCTTCTTGAAATAAGGTGTCCACTTGAGGTGAGCTCAGCTATTCATTTCTAATCAGAGGACTGCTTGGGAAACATTTGGATGATCTCAGGCTGCTGGGCCAATGCCTCTCTGGCCTTTGGAAGAAACATCTTCTTTCTCACCTTGTTTTCATTTTGTCTGGCCCTCTAATAAAACAACACATATGAGAAATCCAATTACTTTTTAAGTTGTAAACATCCCTTAGCTTAGACCCTACCCTGAAAAGGAAGTCCTCAGCCAACCAGTGGGGCGTAAATGGAAAAAAGAAAGGCTAGAACCATATTGTAATTCTGCAGGATCTCTTCTTGTAAAAGGTATATTGTTATGAATGGCAAATCTTTCCCAGATTCATCCAACCGAGCTGCAGAAATGAATGTGAGCACCAGTTGGGCTGTCATCAGACTTCTGTAAGCAGAGCTCAAGTCCAGAAAGCATAAGGAGTGATCCGGACCAGTCCTCTTACCCCAAAAATTCCAGCTCTGCCCAGGTAAGACCTTTTCATGAGTTTAGAGAATCTCATTAGTTTTGTGGGCACTGCATCAATGGGATGCAGTGGCTCAGTGACTAAAACGCTGAGCTTGTCAATCAGAAAGGTCGCCCATTTGGCAGTTCGAATCCCTTGCACCACATAACGGAGTGAGCTCCCATTACTTGTCCCAGCTTCTGCCAACCTAACAGTTTGAAAGCATGTAAAAATGCAAGTGGAAAAATAGGGACCACTTTGGTGGGAAGGTAACAGCATTCTGTGGACCTTCTGTGTTTAGTCATGCCAGCCACATGACCACAGAAATGTCTTCGGACAGTGCTGGCTCTTCGGCTTTGTAACAAAGATGAGCACCACCCGCTAGAGCTAGAAATGACTAGCATGAATGTGCAAGGGAAACCTTTACCTTTAGATTTGCGATTTGCAAACCATGCTTTACTATAACTTGAACAAACTCAGCCAGTGGCCTTATTCAATACTTTATTGTAAAAGCAATCCTTGCTTTGCACAATATGCAAGCAAATTAGCACTTACAATTATAATAAAGGACAAACCTGTACTATTCTCAGATAGCTACATTAGAATACTTAGTTATCACCATGGCTGGGTTTACACATTGCACTAAGCCAGGATTTTTAGCCAGTTGGGCAAGCACATGGCATTAAACTATAAAATATGTCTTATTAACTACAATGTTGTGATCGTAAAGGATAATCAGCATAAACCAAATTAAAAACATTTTCACTTAGTGCAGAGTGTTAATACAGTCACTTCACAGCGCAGACAGCAAAATTCCTAGATTATAAAGCTATGTTCACACAGCACATTAGTTTAAAAATAAAGTTGACTTGTTTGCATACTGTGCAAATTCAGGCAATTGGTAAACTTTATTAAACCATAAATTGATGTGTCATCTGAAAGCCAGACTTATTTTGTGAATTAACCTGTGTTGGATTATCCAGTTTTAACTCATTTTAATTACTCTACTTGAGATTTAGACGGCCTTTCGCCCACCACAAGAACAGATGCTTTAAAATATAAGAGAATATAGTACAATACACATTTTATTAAAATATTGCCTTCATTTCCAATCTACATTTTGCATATTCCACAATAACACATATCCTGTACTTTTTGGAATGACTTCAAAGTCAAGTAAAGTCATGCAGCAATGGCCCCTGGGAAAAACAGCTTGCTTTAGCATATAGCACATTTAACACAGGTGGGAACAAATGTTGCCTGGTTCAGTGCATCAGAGGACATTAAATTACAGGAGGAGAACTGGAACTGGACACTCTTGTTGACTATTAAATCCACAGGATCTGTGCCTTCTTTCATACTTGATAGATTAGGGATCAACAATCATATAAATACCAAATACTGAACGGTATAGCAGCTCTGGTTCCATTTTTTAAATAAATCCATACTCCTAAATTAAATTAATCTACTTCCAAAAGGATTTCATAGATTCAAACTGCAGTTGTGTGTTTTCTCAAAAAATGTTGGGGAGGGGGAGATTAGAGGAGCCTTCTTTTAATGTTTCCCCATCACAACACTCAAAACACCTAGAACTAGGTAATGGTGGCATCATCAAGTTAGTATTAGAAGAGATGAATGTATGTAAGAAGTAGAGAAAACATAACGTGGCAGATGTTCCCCCATCTAAGGGACCTTCCAGTTGTATCAACTCTATTCCCGTTATCCTCAGCCATTCTTGTAGGCTGTCCAATTGAGGAAGGCTGATCTGGGTGCTGATCCTTCTAGAGGTGAGGGTTATAAAATGGAGTCAGATAAGCAGGGCGAAGGAAGGAAGGGAAGGCCCCTCCTCCTGCTGCTGCTGCAGCAGCCACCAAGGGAAAGGAAGCTGCCGTTGGAAAGAGAAGATTGGCCGAGGCATAAGATGAGAAAGTCTGGTAGGCCAAGGAGCTAGGCCCTGGTGGGCTGGGACTGCTACTTCCTGCTGCTGGGGTCACAGCGTTGTTGTTTCCTGGTTGGATCAGGCCATCAATTCCGGGATTTTGTTTCTTCCACTTTGTCCTTCGGTTCTGAAACCAGATTTTGACCTGCGTCTCCGTCAAGCTGAGAGACAAAGCTAGGTTGAGGCGTTCACACACGGACAGGTATCGTGTAGCCCTGAACTTGTTCTCCAGAGCCACAAGCTGCTCGTAGGTAAAGGCTGTCCTGGCTCGTCGAGGCTTGGCACAGTTGGGCTCCACTCGGCGCCGTTTGGATAATCTTGGTGAGTTGGGTTCATCCAGGTCCGAGGAAGAGGAAGAGGGAGGGAAATCAAGGGAGTGGAGGGAAGCAGGTCTCCCCACCGGGGTGAGGTGGTTCCTCTCCCGGTCTGATTCTTCTTGTTCAGATGCCTCCAGGGTGGCTGTATCACTTTCTCCTCTTTCTCCATCAAAGTTTACATCTACAAAACATAAAACAGCATTGATGGCAATGATGGAGTCCTTGATTGCACCTGACCTGTCTAACTATTGCTTTCTGCCTATAGCTCAACATATGCGTCAGGTAGGAAGACTTTCCTTCATTATATATATATATATATATATATATATATATATATATATATATATGAATATATGAATATATGAATATATGAATATATGAATATGTGGAACAGATGGTATAGATAATAGAATCAGATTCAAGCAGAGAAACATGGGTGGATAAGTAACAAGTCTGAAAAAAAACCAAATGAATAGATATTTATAATACATTTTCAGAAGATGATCAGAGTACTTTTCTATAAGTCTGAAATTCTGGAACATATGCCAGAAGAAGAAGGGCATTGACCTGAAGCATTAATATTAATTACACTCAGCAAAAATCAATGCTTCTGAACATATCCAGACCAAACTCAAAATTTGGCCAGTTCCCACATTTAGAAAAAGAAAGGTGCAGAGAAACTCAAGTAATGCACCTTCCAGCTTTGTTTCATCCCCCATCTCTCCCTCTCTTTCTCCTCCCTCTCTCTTACATTTCTGTCTCTCTCATCTCCCTTTCTTTCTTTCCTTCAACTCTTTCTCATCTCTTTCTCTCTCATCTCCCTCTCTCTCCCTCTCTCTCTCCCTCTCTCATCTCCCTCTCTTTCTCTCCCTCATCTCTCTCTCCCTCTCTCTCTCTCTCAATCTGACCAAAATTTGAAAGTAAAATATACATAAATCTACCTTTTTTAAGGTAAAGTTACAATCCCATCAAACTTACTGAAATTCTAGATAACTTTTTCCAATCAGAGAAATAAGAAAGCTAATTTGAGGAAATTGGGAGAAGATACAGTTAAATATTATTAACATTATTAAGTATTGGTCCAAAATGTTTTAAAAACTGAGTAAAGATGTGGGATTGTTGGTTTTTTTTTCCCTCCTTGCAAGAACAAGTGAATCCGGCTCTTAGGGCCCCCCCCCCCCCCCCCCCCCCCCCCCCCCACACACACACACACCTCCCTCTTTTTCTCTTCCCCGACCTAATAGAGTTTCAGATTTGTGAAGGGGCGGATCGATACATGTCATCTATTAAAGTTAAGTTTTAATCGAACAATATGAGGATCAGAGCAGGTCGGGAAAGAGATTTGAAGTCGGTACCTGCAAGCTGTGGGAAGGAGATACGCGGCAGTCGGTAATAGGATATCGATCAAGGGGGAGCGAAGACATCCTCTCGTGGGGGGAGACCGCAGGAACAATTATCTGGCTTGTCCTTTGCCGAGCGCGTCCTGATGCCAATCAGGCTCCGAGGGCCGCCTTTGCCTACCGGCCCGGGGAGGGTGAGGGGCTCTGAGAGCCTCAACTTTCGCTAACCGGTTCGCTGCTCGGCCTTCTCTCGCGGTCTCTTAAAGGAGACCGCAGTCCGGGCCCAAGGCTGGGTCGCGCGCGTTCCCCGAGATGCGGCAAAGGGCTCTGCTTCGCCAGGCGGCCGATGAGGCTGGGAGCTCCGCAGCAGCTCCAACTCAGCAAAGTACAGTAGACCCGGCAGGGGCCGCTAAGAAGAGCAGGGCAGAAGAAGGCGATTTTTTAAGTGTGTGTGTGGTATGTATGTATGTATGTATGTATGTATGTATGTATGTATGTAACTTCTGAGTGGAGCGGATTTTCCACGCCCCGTTGAATCCCGTGATCTCCTTTCAGCTAAAGCTAAGCTGGCGAGCAACACTTAAACCGGCTTCCTTTATAAAAAGAGCCATTGAGGTCGACCGGTTCTTATTTAATTTGTTACGGGCGATCTTTCTCCCCCCTCCCCCCCCCATTAATTCAATTTTAGCCGCTGCCTGTCGGGAAGAAATCCACAGTGCTGTCAAAAATCCTGCTGGATTACCTCGTGGCATGCTGTCCAGCTTCCAGTCTCTCTCCCTCCCTCTCTCCCCGCTCTCCCCCCCTTTTCTTAACTTCATTCAAACCCCGCTTATATTTTCTTACGGAAAATAGGTCACTGGCGCAGGACTTCAATTCCTATCACGCCCCCCACCCCACCCCCCAGTCAGCCCCGCTGGCTGCGGAGATGGGGCTTGTAGTCCGAGGGCGTCAGGTTAGTTGCGGGGGGTGGGGGAGGCAGTCTAATATCCGAAGGACAGGCTAAGCAAAAGCGACCTGCCGGTTCCAAAGTGCGTCTGAGAAGGGGACGAGGCGGCTGCCTGCGCTCCTCCAGCATCTCCAGCAGGCAGCCGGATCGCATACACCCCCCCCCCCCCCGCCACCACCACCGCCACCGCGGCCGCAGTCGCCATCGTGAGGTCCTGCTGTCAGGAAGCGATCCCGGGAAAGACGATCGCGGGAGGCGGGCGACAGTCCCTGAACAGACGAAAGGTTTGACCTTTTGGGGGGGTGGGGGTGAGGGTGGAGGGGTCTGGCCAGCCTCTGTGGCCTTTGCTACGGCGCCTTGGGAAAGCTGCAGGCCTTGGATGTCCAATGGACCTTTGGCAGCCCCGTTTGATGCTTTCCTGGGACGGAAGAACTCGGGACGGCAAGGGAGAAGGGAAAGGGAAAGCGAAAGGAAAGAGAGGAAAGGAGCCGGGATCTCATTGAAACCGAGGAACGCGGCACCTACCCTGCGAAGAAGCTTCGACCTTGCTCCTTCGGCGCTCGGGTTCCAGTTCAACTCTTCCCAAACTTTTCCCCCGGTCTCCCCGCGCCCGTGGCTCGTTCTCCCGCCCCCCAGCCGCCGACGGGCTTTTCCGGTTGAATTTCTGCGGATCCAGGATGTCGAGGATGGAAAAGGAGATTTTCGAAGGGAGAGGGGGCCCTTTGGCCCCGCTGTCCGGACAGTCCGGCATTCCCCCTCCGAGCTCCGAGGATGGCTGCGGTGGCCCAGGACGCACGGCTGGATTCCGGGGAGGAGGCTGGCCATAAGAGGCCGGGGGTCGCCTTCGGGTGAGGCGAGCGAGCCTGGACTTAGAAGATGCTCGTCTATAAGGAAGAAGGGGAATCTCTGTCGCGGCGGGGCGGGGGGGGGGGAAGAGTGGTGGGAGGAGGAGGAGGGACGGAGGAGGAGGGTCCATCCTGGACAAGGGAACGGGGCTGCGATTGGAGGGAGGGTCTGCCTGCCTAATTGCCTCGTTCATAGTAGTAGGTAGGTGTTGTGGTTACTATTATTTTCCGTGTCTGCCCAAGCTCGTAGAGAAAAGCACGCCGGTTCTTGGGGACAGACTGCAGCTTCTTTTCTCCCCCCCCCCCCCCCCCCCCCCCCCCCCGCCCCGTGTGAAACGATAGGAAAATTTCATGGTGCAATTCTCTATGGGAACTAAATCCAGCTGAATTCAGCAAGGTTTACTCCCAGGTAGATTATATAAAATTCCAGCCCAGCCCAAATCATTTAAAGTTTCCCCCCCCTCCCCCCAAGAATTGTTGATCTCTTTCTCTAGGATAAAGCGGGAGGGATGGAGAATTCTAACCTGGTCTAACTACTGCTGGGTTGTGAACAAAAGACAAGTGCTTTGACTTAGTTGGTTTCGAAGAGTTTTACAGCGTATGCAGATTTTTTTAACGGGTAAAATGGGCAAGAAAAAAGCTATGAGCTAAAAATGGATGCTTCATGAAAACTTTTAGGCTGATGATTTGGGGGCACATCGATGTACCCAGCATTGTGACTTTTATGTGAATTCACTTAATCGTGAGATGAACACTGTCAAACTATTTACTAAGTCTGCATTACTATTAATCTTCCCATCCCTCCTTTCACCCATCTCCTCCCACTTATGACTGTATGACTATAACTTGGTTGCTTGTATCCTTACAATTTTTTAAATTAACTGTTTCCTAGTATGATTTGAGTCCTTATTGTACCCTATGACTATTATTAAGTGTTGTACCTTATGATTCTCGACTCTTGATGAATGTATCTTTTCTTTTATGTACACTGAGAACATTTGCACCAAAGCAAATTCCTTATGTCCAATCACAGTTGGCCAATAAATACTTCTATTCTATTCTATTCTATTCTATTCTATGAAACGAATAAATATATAATCTGTCTCTCCAGTTATTCAGATTATTGTGTATCCAGACACTGTAATGTTATGCTCCTAGAGCAAGCCCAGCTGAAATTGAGAGCAGGTACTTCTCAAAAGACATACAGGTGTGTATTCTCAGTCCTACTGAAATCTTCCAAAATTGTTCCAAAATTAACATGCAGAAGTTCAAACTGTGAGCCCTAGGATGCTTTCAGGTGAGGTTTTTTTTCATGCAGTTTGCTTTACCTTGTTCGCAAAGGTCCAGGCGATCTTACCTCCCTCTCTCTTTTTCCACCTGTTTTTCTTCTTAATAAAAAATGAATAAGATTAGTTTGCATATTACAATAAGTCATGATGTTATTTATTTATTTTGGCAACTTAGTATGATGTATTTAGGCAGACAAATTACTAAACTTACAGTTTAGGATAGTATTTTTCAACCTTAGCAACTTTAAGATGTGTGGACTTCAACTCCCAGAATTCCCCAGCCACCCATGCTGCTGTAGGATTCTGGGAGTTGAAGTTCACAAATCTTAAAGTTTTTAAGGCTGAGAAACGCAGACTTAGGACAATGTGTGAATCCAGCCAATTACTACCATCATTTCCTTGATAGCATTGAAAGTAGGGGAGACACACAAATGTGTCCCACAGCTAAGAGAATAAGAGCAATTTTTTTTTTGTCAAGCAATTGTTAGATAATTGTTAGATAACAGATATAAGTTAGTTGGTTATGAATAAATGAAATGGATACGAATAAGAAAAAAAAGAAACAATAGGACAGAGAAGGTAGGCACGTTAGTGCGCTTATGCACGTCCCCTTTTTCTCAGGACTGATGCCAATAAGTTTGGTACACTAAATTATTTCAAAAAATTTCAAAAATTAAAGCATTATTTTAAGATAAATGTGTCATGGGTTAACACAGGTTTTAGTTAGGCAAAACACAAAAAAGTCTAAGCAGTATTATTTTTAAAAGGCCTCTGTCAGTGAGCGGTGTGAGACTCTAAATTTCAAAGGGATGGTAAAAGTACCCCCACACTGAAAGATTATAACAAGATTAATTTTTTTTAAAAAAAAGATTGCAGTACACATCTGTGAATATACACTAATAATGGTTTATCAGTTTCAAGTGAACGTTCGATCTGCTTCCACTATAATCTTTGAAGTGATGTGAGGTCAGGAAAAAACGGTCTATTTGTGGTTTGTGCCTAACAGGGCTATCAAATATGTACATCGATATGAGGCCTACATGATGTTTTTATAGCCGAAGTTCTGAATACAGCCCGACATAACTTGATTCTGGAAAATTGTTTCCTATGCTAGATTTCCATGCTTAAGCTATCGTGCGGAGTATATCAAAAAGTTTTTTTTTAAAAAAAATCACATTTAAACCAGTGCCGTACTACAGATCGCAGCCTCCATTAGGAGGAGTGAAGAACTTGTGACCCTTTAAAGGAAGTGCATGTCCTACACATCTCTACACATTTATTCTATGAAGGAAATCCCACAGAAATATTAGCATCTCACTGAATTCTATGAAAACCTATCGCATAGAATAAATGTGTATACTGCAGCGTATTTATCATTTCCTGTGGTAAAAGCATTTATGGTCCCTGATTTATTTTTAAAGAATAGTTCATGATTCTTAATCATTGTACAAAAAGGATGGGCAATCGGCAACAACTAAATCTTTTATAACTCTTGGATACCTGCACTCCCCAGGAGTATTATGAAATTACAGTTTTCTATCATTCTGAGGCAGGAAATATATTCACACTGACTGTAGCCTAAGACAAGGGGCTTTTTTTTTTAAAGAAAGGACTGATTATTTAAGAGGACTGATTCCTCTGAAAAGGAATACATATACAAGATTCTGGGTTAACACTTCACATCCCCTAACCTCCCATCTCTCCCTCCAATGGAAAAAGAAAGATTAACGCAAATTTTAGAATAAATTCATCTTTAAAAGATTCAAAGAGTCAGAATTATAATCATTAAAATCAGTGCAAGGTATGTATTTTGATCAGCAAGGCGAAAAAGAGGCAAAATTTCTAACTAGTTCTTGAAAACAGAGCCACTTTTTTAGACCATATTGGCTCCTACTATTGCTCAATTATTTATGATTCCTGGATAAAAGAAAATTCTCTTTTCACTTACATTGAAAAGGAAAGGAAAGAAGTTAGCCATTATTCTACATAGTAAGTGGTAAATCATTTTTTTTTCAGTCATTCATTCCAGGTTAATTGATGCTGAGTTTAATAGAGCCAAAGTTGAAATTAGGGACATATCCTACTGTTGATAGTGAAGATATAGAGTTCGTCTTCCTCTTGGTTTTCCAAAAGGTTACAGGCCTGCCTGTTGTCTACCAACCTGTTTAAATGAAAAAGAGAACTAATTTCAAAACTGTGGTAGAATAGCTTCGGCAGTAAAATAATTTTTTTTACAAATGCAGATGCAAGCTGTAGTTGGGAAACCTTGGTGGGCTAAGACATTCAGAATTTGAAAGAAAAAAAAAGGAATTTCAAAGCACTCCTCTGATCTAGAGAAACAACTAAGGAGCATGAAAATCTCTTGCATCGTCTCCACCCACCCACATCTTCCATTACAATGCAGTGTCATAATGTGGTACTGGCAGCTCATGCTCGGTCATTTTTCAAAAGATAGAAGGTTTTCAAAACTTAAATGTTTCATTCAAAAATTGCACTGGGAGGCCAATAATTTCTCATTTCTTCTTCACCACGGGACAATAGAGCATTGTTAGCAGGTATGGAATAAATTTAGGAGGAGAAAATTACCAACTTGGAGTTTTAGGTCTGTCAGCCCTCACTTGATGAGTCATTAAAAAGAGGGTATTCCTTTAGTTCCTACTCTCCTCAAACTGTAACATGGTTTGTTGGTTCTGGCATTATATAATGTATGAATCCAACTAAATTTGTCTCCTTTCTTAATCTGAAACTTTGCCAAACACTCGTGTTTGGAAATAATGTTTTATTTAGGACATTTTGTCCCTTCATTAGAGCATGGCAAGTATTTACGGAAGCAGAACAAATTTGTCATGATGGAAGAAACATTCTGCAGATCTTGAATTTAGCTAAATGTGATCCATTATAGTCATGCAGCTTTGATTATAATTGATAAATATTATGAATGTTCCAATTTTTTTCAGTGTGATGGTTGTATTTTATAATATCCTTTGCAATTACAAGTTGTAGAAATTTTAGAACACACATTCATGTCCAAAACATCAAATTCTCTCTGATAAGTTTGCTGAAAATGTGGAACACCACATACACACACACGCACACGCACACACACACACAGAGAGAGTCCCTCAGTGTACTGAACCCTTTCTTCTTCTTTTCCACAAGATCACAGGATCTTGTGAATGGTATCTTATTACATATTTTGGACACTTTAAAGAATATTGCAAATATTCTAATTAGCAAAACTAAAATTAATTTAGCAGATGTTGATGGGAAGAGGACAGGAGCAGCTGGCCTCTCAAAAGAATATGCCACATTCATTCCCATTGTTATGTAAATTATACAGATACCCCCCTACATATTCTGATGTTTTACTTTCAGAGAAACTAACCTTTGGTCCCCATAAGATAGGGATGGGAAAACATCAGCTTTTGGAATCTCCTTTGTTTAAAAAGAAAGAAAGATGAAATCCATGAGTGGAGCCTACTGAACAGGGATCAAGTCTGACCCCAAGAATTTCTTTTGACTATCAGTACTAAACTGAAAACACAGTTCTTCCACTTGAAAAACTATTCCTGAAAACATCCAGAAATCAGTTGCTGAATTCTGTAATCCCCACTACT